TTCGACCATGTTAAAACCGTGTTGTTGTTTGGAATTATCAGGGTCCGAAACTAACGCAATGAGGTGATGCCCGTCCTTCGAAGACCTTTTGTATCATGACCGTTTTACCACGATGTGACATTACATGCTGCGTACACATATTTCATTTGGGCGTCTGCCCGCTGCATTTCGCCAAGCAAGCGCTTGTCCTTACATCTCTTTGGTGCGCTGTGGGTTGCGTAACGTAGCTCACTTTCCCGGCAAACCGACTAATCTGTCCAAGTACTGCTGATAGTTCGGAAACCGATGAGCAGGCCGCAGGCATTCAAAGAAGACATGGACACAATGGGGCAACTTGCAGTACATGCTGACACCCTGGCGTGACCTGGCCAAAAGGTGTCACGTCACTGCTTGCAACTGGTCTTGACAGGCGCCTACCCTGTGGCACCAGTTTTGGGCAGAGCAATCGCTGCTTGATGCTGGGACGGCTGACAATCAGGTTTTGAACGGATCAAATTCAATCCGAAACCTGTCGCGCGCTTCATTCTTGCCTTCGCTGCAAGTGGACCTCGAGGCGAGCAGACAGCCTTCGCCTCACTTGCTTGCAGGCGTGGCCTGGGATTTACAGTTTCCCTTTGCCACCCCGTTGACTTTCGTTTGGGGCCCCTGTGGACACTGGACTCACCTTATCCCTTACGTAAGACTTTCTTTTCGTGTACTTCAGGTTTGGAATTGCCTTTGTCATCTTGGACTTGCGCTTTGTCTTCACCTTCGTATTGTTGGAGGCATCCGTTGCGCAAATGGATGCTTTGCTCTCACCCGCCCTGACCCACCCAAATCTCATGGAACACATCAACAAGTCCACTCCCAATTCTGGCCACCCACTCACTGAACACCCTGAGCTGGAAGCCAGCCCAACACCAATCTCTCTCAGCCCTCTTGATTTGCAAGACCTGTCTTCGCTCCGGCGGTTGTATCTATCTGGTCAAGCAGGCTGCACGTAGAAGATTCCTTGTCATAGCGCCTGGGCCTGGCGAATGGCCCCTGGAATCGTTGAAGAGCAAGCCGAGCGTTTTGATCAATGGGTGGGTTGGGCACGCTTTCAATATCACGCGCTTCCTTTTCGTCTTCTCCGCAATGCTTCCTTTTCGTCTTCTCCGCAATGCCCCCTGGACTCCTGATGCCCACCTGCTCATTTGGGACTTTCTGTTTGATTCGTACAATAGAGAAGAGTCTTGTATTGTTCCCGATCTACCTACAGGCAGGCCTACCTGCCACCCTTCGCGTGAGCAACACGGTAGCGTGTCATTTTCATGGTAAGAGTTGGGTCAGGTCAGGGCGGCGCATTCATTTGCATTGCCCTATTAACAACCATGTTTGGACCGCTTGTCTTCGCGGCGCGACCACCGTGCTCCACAACGCCCACTTCGCGCCACACGAAGCTTTCGATTGCGCTGTCAGTGAAACGGTTTACCGCCGACCCGTTGCTTTTGACTGGCAAGCTACCATGCCACTGCGCGCCGCGGTGTGGTTCTGCCCGCCCGCTTTGGGAGGCAAAGGTTTAACAAGTCTATTTGCGGTTCAACTTTGAAACTGTGTTACGACGCACTGATTTGACATGGCCCCTTTGACATCAAAAATAGGGCTGGGGCAGACACTCCGGCCAGCACGTGGTCGAAGAGCTTAAGCGTCTCAACGGACTTGACATGGCCCGCTCAAATCCACAAGGTTGCCCTCCATTCTATTCAATGCTGATTGTTTCCAAAGACTTTGAGTCTATGCCATCAGCGCTGGCCGCTGGATCAGTTCTGTCACGCAAAATGCTACAAACTTGGCATACTTCTCTAACGCCGAAGTAGGCACACTTGCGTTGTTTGTTTTATGTGCTCTGCTGCCTGCGTATTCACAAGCACGCTAGAACTATGGTCCTCAGAACGACAGTGACAAAGCCATAGATCGCCTACGTAGCCTACATAGCCTAGCTAAGTGCGACACTAAGTGGGCTCAGTATATAGCTTATATTATATAAGCGTGGCAAGTATAACATAGCACGCGCGCCCTGTGTAGACTTAGCAGACTTGGGCTGAGTCGGCCAAGTTAGATGCCACGTGGGCTATCTAGATAGTGAGTTCGCCATCCACACGCAAGCAAAGCTGGGCCTCCAAGAACAGTGCCTAATCTATTCCAACGCTCAAACAAAAGCGCAATAACAAAGCCAACAGCAAGCACCTTGCGCTCTGCAAAAGACGCTATACCCTCAGGTCAGAAAGTTGCACAGCCTGTCAACGCATGCTTGGAGTTTGGCTTCTGACAACGAATTGGGTTCCATTTAAAGTCCGTTTAGTTCCTGATTTGGCTTCGTCTGTGTGAGATCCAAGAACCTAGGCCACAGGCTTCGGTTTGTCACACAAGCCCCTTCGGTGGCATGTGGGGAGTTGCGGTCTACTTGAAAACTAATCATTCTGTAGTAGATATCACGTTTGCAATTGCCGACTCCGTGTGATTCACAAAAGGCGATTGCTTTTGCGTTTGCGCTAGTAACATTACACTTCCTTGACAGGCTGCGCGCGCAGCCTCCTGCCTGTTCAACAGACCCAGCATCCATAAATACCAGTTCATTCGCTTGTGGGCCCGCCACACTTCATCCATCCGAGCTCATACCGAGTTGAAACGCCTGGCCTTGTTGCACATCTTCCACCCACCCAGTCACTGATATTTGGGACGTCAAGCGGGTTTTCAGCCAGGGCACGGGCGCTGGCGTAACCATTGGCCATCCACGCCGATATCACAGCGCAAGGTGGAACCTCACATGAGCGATGGGTGTCCAAAGGATAAGCAAAATGCAATAAGCCACGTAAGAGCTCTACAGTAGTTCCTCCAGCCAGTGCGATAAGCCTAACAAATGGACTTTTAGTCAGGCTTCTTGGGCTGATTTAGTCAGACCATGGCGCATTGACGGCCGTGGTTTGTCATTCGTTTTGACACGATTTTGCGTGGGTTTGCGCTGTACTTTTGGGCCGTACTGCAGCCTGAGAAGTGGGGACATGAAAGGTAGGATGCAGGAAGGTGCAAGTCAGGAGAGCACAAACCGGCAAGATGAAGGATCTGGAGGTGGTATTGTTGGAGTGGTCTTTAATTTAATGCTCGGTATTTGCTCGGTCAAGTGTAGAAGCTCCCTAGTAGATGACATGAAAGGCAAAGCCAAACGACGTGGTGACTTAGCTCTCGAACACGAAGGGCAGCGAAGCGGCGAGTGGACCCCAAACAAAGAATAATATATAGTAGCATGATCCAAACATATTTATGAATGCTTGATTCATGTAACTGTGGGCTTATGGATACCATGGGATGGCAACCTCCACTATAGAGATCGAGTAAAAAACTTCGCACTCACAGCAAATGACAGCGTCTCGGGCGATGCCCCATACGCAGCATGTCACGCGATACCCTATGCGCAGCGTTGCGGATGATGCCCCACGCGATGTGCATTGACAAGGTAGAACAATGATTTTTTTCAGCATCACAACAACTTTTCTTGTGGCGGGGGGGGGGGGGGGGGCTTCCTATCGAGGGGGTGCTCCGGTGATCCAATGATCGAGATCCATTGATCCGAGCATCGCTGATCCGATGATCTGAGTGTTGCAGGTCTGATGCCCCCCTGCAGATCAGATCCACCTTCGAAGTTAATTGAACGGTGGGCCATTTGTAAGTTGTGAAGGAGCCTACAGAGGGGATGTTTTGGGATGAAGAGCTACTAGTAGGATGGCGTCAACCAAATGTGTTTTGAACAGACTGTGGTTCATATCGGTTCTGTTGTTGGTTGCAAGTGTAGCAGCTTGGGTGTCGCAGAAAAGAAAGCAGGCCATCCCAATGCCAAAATATCCACTCGGTGGTGAGATTGTCCAATAGGCATGCTCAACATTTGTCCACTGTTGTCATTTGGGGGACTCAGTTGAGTTCCAATGCTGATAGGGCTCAGCCCATGTTGAACGAGAGAGTCTCGCATTAAATACACTTCACACGCATACCAACAGCATCACTTCCAAGACACTCTTCCGGTCTTCTGAGATTACTGGAGCGGGTTGCGCGGTAGGAAAACTAACCAAATGATGCAAGGTCAGGCACAGAAATAGTTAGTTTGGATGAGTCCTCAAAACCCTCTAAATCGCGTTCTTGTTGTGGCAAAACTGAAACACTATATCTCCCTCTCCCTAGTCAGATTGACATATTCATGAGGCCATGTCTACAATATAACAATTCAAAAACACAGTCATGCTAAAGGTACACACTCTGTCGATTGTCTGGAAAACCCTCCAATACCACACGGCCATGTATGAGCCGTGGGCCTAGTTTCCACACCAAGCTGCGACTAGAGCCGCAAGGCGAAAAAAGGGTGCAGTCTGGCCATATTCTTTGGGAATCTTCTGCCCACTCAGCCCAGCTGCCATCGCCAAGCGTCCCGGGTTGCACTCTAGCTTCTTGCGGGTAAAAAAGAAGGCACCAGGTTGAAAGCCACATCTCCACATCAGACCCATGATGTCTTGGTGTGATTCCAATATGTGTGGTACTTGCTAGTCTAAAGACAATCCCGGTCTCATAATATTCCAGTTCTGGCTGTGTTACCGAGTCGTCAAGTCAGCAAATGAGGTTGAAACAAAGTCCGTGATGTTCACTTTATGATTCTGTGTTGGTCTCGTCGCCATTGTCATCCTACACTTCTGCAGTCGGGCCTTGTGTTGAACCACCAAACAGGACAGCAAGTTGAAGCACACAAATTTGACTACAAACTCTGTGGAAGACTAACAAAGCTTAGACGGCGCAGGCCCTATCAGCACTACTTCAGTAGCTTTGCAAGGAAAGGTTGGCTCCACCAAGATCCCTTATTTATTTTGTCAAGAGGTCCCTGAGCTTGTTCTCCAGCCCTTATGCCGTACACATGTCTCCAATTGTCTTCAGGGAAGTTGGACAAATCATGACAAATCTAACAAAACGATTCTGATACAATCAGCTGTGGCCAACACATTAAGAGTACGAAGGGCTGGCAATGCTCCCAGACCTGTGAGGGAGGCGAGCTTGTTCCTGGCACGTCCAAGGCTCAAAGGCCTTTGGTCCAGAGAGGTAAGGGTGCATGAGGTGAACATGAGGCGAACATGTGCATACACGTTGCATGTCCCTCCATTTCGAGCTTAAAGGAGACGGAAGGAGACCAGCTAGTTTGCAGTGCCAGTTCAATTGGCTTCGCTCAACAGGCCGACATTGACAAAGGTGTGGGCCTAGTTTGGTTGTTTCTCTTGGGAGGAGGTAGGCCGAAGGAGGAAAGGTAATCGGAAGAAAAACAAAAAGAAATAGACATACATAAAGGAAAAAAAACATATAAGTAAAGGAAAAAATGGACATGGACATAGACATAGAAATAGAAAAATATATAACTGTATGTGTTTTAAGTAACATAATGACATGTGTTCCTTGTAGTAGCCCTGAAAAGGTATCAGGTTCTTCAAGAACACATCGGGGCGGGCGGGTAGGCCGCTAGTAGAAGCTTCTTTTTTCAGCACTAATTACATTCTATTATAACAGTATAGATAACTATATACTAACTAAGTTTAGGAAGGTAAAGCTAACAAGTACAGTAGCTTCTTAGGCGCAAGAAAGCTGCTTCAAGGAAGCTCCCCCCGCCGCCCTTGAAGAAGCCCTCGCACTATTCATTTGGTTCCTGGACTTTTAGGCAGTTCTAAGGTAGGGCTCCAAGCTTGCGACTGAGGCCATCACGATGAGACATCCAGTATCTGCAGCTTCTCATGCCCTACAGAAACTTGAAATTGTTGAGCCACCAAGAACAATAAATCTCTGTGGCTTGAAATCAAAGACAAACATGAAATGTGACCATGACCATTCTAATTACAATTTGCAAGATATGAGGGCGTACTCAAGCAGTGAAATCACTGCTGTTGCAAGGCAAAGATGCGACTTGCACGCCTCCCATCTCACAGGCTGCGATCTCATTCTTGGCCAGGCTGAGGGATGACAGGGCCTCTCATCACAGATCCAACACTTTCATGTCACCCAGTAGTTCTTCCCAAACGGCACAAAACAAAGGACTCCCTGGTAAATTGGTAAATTGGATTGATAAATCTGAGCTCAGCTCAGGCTCATGTCGACAACTCAACCCACTGACAAGTGGGAATGGCTCAGTTCTGACAGAAGAAATAGAATGGAAAAACCGTAGCTAGGTACTGTTGATATTCCACAATTCCACAATCAATTGTGTCTGCAAAAAGTACCGCTCAGAAAGTCTGAATGACTTGCGATGTGTGCCAACTCCCTCCTGGAATGGCATTGGGGTCAACGTGGTCAGCTGATTCTCACTCAAGTTCAGCTCCACCAAATTTGGGAAGATCGCCTTCATAAAGCACAGGGGACTCTCTTCTGCAGAGCGAATCACAGGAATTAGAATAGCTCCGATGCCCCAAAGTCCATAAGCACAGGCATGGGAAAATCTGCCAAGCAGAAATTGCATTTCTCCACTGCCTCCTCAGACTCCCATCCTTTCAGGCTTGAAATGGCATTCTTTGCCAAGTTGAGCTTCACCTGTCTGTGAAAGTCTGACGGTTGTTGACTTTGATGTGTGGAAAAAAAGAACTGGTAAGCGGTGCCCTGGACCAACAAGGGGCTGGGAACAGAACTAAAAAACACTTTCAAGCAAATGTTGACGACAAAAAGCAGAACAAAATTCCGCAAAACGTGGAAAGCTAGGACCATCGCCAAACCCTGCGAATGCCATGCAAACTTTTCAGGAGTCTTTCAAGCAACATCCAGTTCGTGGTCGTTTTGAAGCCTTTAACTGACTTTGCTCTCTCTCTTGGAAAATGCTCATCGTCAGCTACAGCAATCGTTCAACACGCTTACACAAGCACCTAACACTTGGTCAAACGTGCTCCGCAAAGGCTTCAACTTGGCTGCTCACCAATAGGCTGAGACCCTTTAAAGGCGTCACATCCTGGGCGTGTGGCCGGCCCAGCCCATCGAGGGAACCCATTTCAAAGGTCAAACGAACAATCAAGAGCATGCGAGTGGTTTTGTAAATGCACTTTGGATGAAGGCTTTGTTTGAGATGAACTTCTTGGGACGCTGCTTTGATGAGATTGTCTGAAAAGTCGAGAGTTTGCAAATATGTGTACCTGACCACGATAGAACCTACCATTACATGCCAAGATTGCACCGGCTGATTGTCCATGTTTGCATGCAATGCTGTGCAAAGCTGCATTGTGTGCCACATCTTTTGTGTCGAAGGAACCACAAGAGCCAACAACCACTCTGCCTCTGCAGGATGTTCACTTTGCGGGCGCACCCCTCAATGATCTTGATCGAACCTAAACGCTTGCCTATGCATGAGGCCCTGAGAAATGCAAACCTGGCTGCGATGGAAGCCCGGATTTCTACTTCTGTGCGACCAGAAAACATCATGCAAACAAGTGTTCACCCCTTTGAGACCAGCAGAAGTTTATTTACTGATCTGGAATGATCTCGTGTTCACCGTTAACTTGCAAGTTTCAAACGTCCGCACAAAACTGCCAGAGCACCCAGAGCCATCCACGGTCCTTCCCAAGTTTGAAAGGTCCAGGAGCGGCTCTGCCAGAGTCTGGCAAGGTAGGCCGAGCAAACAAGGCAGAGTTCTGAGAACAATTCAGTGAATCAGTGCTTGAATGGAAAACACATGGGAAAAAGAAAGAACATAGAGGAGCACACGATCGCCTTGCAACTGATGCCATATTATCAAGTGTTGTGCTCCGCTGTGTGTTTTCAATTCAAGACAAGCACATGAATGGTTATGAATGTACAAATTAAGCAAATATGCGGTCACACTGGTCACCCTCTCAATGTTTACGGCGAAACAGAGTGGCCAAATGTTGGCCACGTACTGCAAGTCTGTACATCAACGGGCATCCTGAATCATCCTGCTGCCAAGATATCACCTCATGACCCCGTCAAAATTGCAGAACTTGTCCGGAGCTTCGCTATGTGTGCGCTCAATTCACCCAGCTCACACAGAAAGCACCGATCTTGGTCCATATTTGATGACTGCCTGTACAAGTCCATAGGTGGACAAGGACATGCAAGATTCAAGAAAGATGCACAGATTGCAAACAGTGCCTGTTGCAGGATTCCTGTTGAAATAAGCAACCGGCTGCGCACTTCTCTCAAAACCTATATATACGGTTTCTGCTCAAGACATTCATCAAAATGATGCAATCCACCAACCCACGATAGTTTTTAGTCCATGTTTTGGGTCAACAATACTACCAGGCGACGGCGAACATCGGAATTATTGTGTTGTGTACATACATACATACATACATACATACATATATGTATGATTGTGTATGTGTAAATCGTGTATACAATAAACATCTATCTACCTGAGAAGGGAGGGGACGAAAGCCAGCCTCCGAAGCTGCGCTGTGAGGAGTGTACAAAGAAAAAGTTTGGCGTCAAGGTCCGTCACGTCCCCCGAGATAATCCGCACTAGTTTTCTTGTCTTCCGGTCAATGTAGGCACCGTGCCACTTGCGAACGTAATCGCGGCACGCAGGGAGCCGGTACTTCAGCGAAAAAGAGGTCTGAGGAGGCAAACGTGGTGCAAGCGGTCTGCCTCCCAGGGTAGGCCTTGCCAAAGACTTGGCGTGCAAGATAAGATGAAGTGATTGGGCAAAGAGGATCCGGAAGCGGCAAAGTGGATATGGCCGTCAGTCGAGATAGAATGGAAATAGACAGTACAATACATAGACTTGGGACGGGGTTCCCTTTTTCGTCTTGATGTCGGGGTGTCGTGGAGGTGAAAAGAGGCACCCCTGTGATCCAGGAAAGGTGTGGTAGGGTGTGTTGGTCTATGTTTTCAGTGAGTTATTCCCCGAATGGGGTACCCTTTGGAGTCCACCTTCCGCCTCCAGCGCGTGGGGTGACTTCTCCCCAGTTTTTCATGTCCCCTTGTCTGGCCTTTCCTCTCGTCGACGTGAACTCCCCCACCCCTAGTCAAAACAATTTACATGGCATGTTGCTGATGAGTGAACAAAGAACAAGGAAGATTGTGGGAGGCCTCTGGGCGAGGCTATCGGCAGGCTTTCGTCAGGATACATATATGTATACAGGTAGAGTGGACAAAGAGGACCCGCAAGCGGTAAAGTGGATATGGCCGTCGTTCGAGATAGAACGGACATGGATAGTACAATACATAGACTTGGGACGGGGCGCCCTTTTTCGTCTTGATGTGAGTAAAGCAAATGGAAGCAGCCTCTCCCATCTGGCACCCCGCTCCAGGTGCCAGATAGAAAGGGCAGCCAAACGATTCTAACGCCTTCAAGTTTGTAACATCATGAGCAGCGTCCACTTGCCAACGTCAAGTAGAAGGGTTCCAGGTGCCTGAACGCGCCACCTCTCATGATGCCAAACCATTCCCATTGCCAGAGTGATCGGCCAACGCTTTCTGTTGTCGCCCTGTCAGGCATTCTTGAATTCTTGATACTCACCCCAACTGCAAAACGATGCAATGATATCCATTGCATCTTCTTTTGCGGCCAACGGTTTACACCAACCGCCTTTTACACCGCCGCACGGTTTACAATTTCCGCTTGGTGTAAATCGTGGTGCGGAGTAAGCGGCGGATGGTGTAAAGCGTGGTGTGGTGTGGTGAAACGGCGGCTGGCGCAAAACGTGCTGCGGTGTAAACGGTGGCTTGGTGTAAAGCGCGGTTAGAATCCCCTTCAGATACGGTTACCGGAGGATCCGCCCATTCAGCCAACCTGACCTCCGCAAGAAGACATCGATGTGGTTACGGGGTGAAGTCGACAGCACACTGCTGTCAGGCATGGGGAAATAGAAGGCAGAGAGGCGCAAAGCCTTGCGTTGAGGGTGGATACGATAGGCTCTGTATACACAAGATGAAGGCCAGAGCGTAGACATAATGATCATAACGCCTTGCATCAACTCTCATTCACCGTGAGCTGTAATAGGATAGACTTGGGTTTGTACGAAAGGCGGGCTCTCTTGGGCATGTACAGCTCAGGGGCGCCCTACTTTTCATCCGGGTAATAGTCTCTTTCACGAAGAAAAAGGGCACCTCAAGCAACTTAAAGGTTCCTGACAGCATTCTACGTCTTTCCAGGAGATCCCATTTCGAATGCTTTCTCCAGGAGAACGAGATTCTAGCCAAAGTCGGTGCGCGGCCAAGAGTGGACCGACGAATGTTGACTGGCAAGATTACGCGCTTGCCTAACATTGAAGCTGGATCTGCTAGAGCCAACGTGCGCAGCGCCTGAATCGGCTCATCCACTGCTACTGCGCGTAGGATAGATTTCGATCTGCGCCACAGCCCCACTCCCCTGCACATCTATAGCTCTGAGGGGTGCATCCAGTTGCCAGCCCTCTTCACCAAAGAAAGGCTCACCCCCAGGCAACGCAAAGGTTGCTGACTGCATTCTATTCCCTCTCCTGTCCTCTACGGGCGACATCGTTTCTGGCATTCCCACTCTTGTCAGCCACGAGAAAACAGAGGGCTGGGAGACGCACATCTCACTTTGAAGCTAGATCTAGAGCCATTTACGCTACGCCTGGATCAACTCCTGCACCAACAAAGCCCAACTGCCGTGGACATCCATAGCTCTGAAGTGCCCTTTTTCGTCCAGCTAACAGCCCTCTTCACCATAAAAAGGGGCGCAAAGGTTGCTGACTGCACTCTACTTTGTCTCCAATCCTCTACGGCTTACATCGTTTCTTGCGTTCCCTTTCCACACTTATTATATAGCCACAAGAAGCCAGAGGGCTGAGAGATGCACATCGCACTTTCCTGGTGGGTTCCCGACCTCTTTTCCTGTGACGTTGTCCTCTTTCCTGTCCCCAACATGAACTCCCACCCCTTGTCAAAAGACTGCTTAAATACGCTCCTGAGCCCTTCATGATGCTAATGATGCACTCTTCGGCACCACTTACATCACTTGCATCAAAACACCCCAAAAACCATACATTTCCCTACCAGGCTCTGGCTCGCCCTACCCAAACTAGACACCTAAGTCACCCCCCCGCCCACCCACACCCCCTACACTCACTTCATTCGCCCATCGACAACTCCAGCCTAGCTCGTAATGAGACAGGCACCATCAAAAGCCTGCAGAATCCCCGCATCACATAAATACCCGAGACCGAATAACCCGCTCCAAACAAGATCCACTTCGGGGCGAAGGAGAGAGAGAGGTGGGTCTGTATTGAAATATCAATTGCAAGGAGGGGGTTTAGGATTGAATTGAAATACAAGCAGTTCCCGGGCAAGCCGGCGGCGGAAGTTTCC